GTGAATCGAACTCTCTGGCCCCTCCATGAATCGGGGTCTTGGATCACGTGTCGGATACTCTTTTGTCTAATATTGGGAATTTTCTCAATTATACCACTAGTGTTTATCTGCCCCGGTATCTCTCTGCCGCGCTCCGAATTCTCTCTAATAACATAAAGTAATTTAAAGTGTACAGGTTCGCTAGGCAGTGGCAGCAGCCACTGCAACGCGAGGTTGCAGCCAGTCACTTGTGACGTCGAGGGGTGGAGATATAAGCAGCCGAAGGGGATGGCGCAGGCGGTCTGGTTTTGTGAGTGCGCTCCGAAATGTAGGTGTTATTGTAATTCTGCCTTCCCCGAGAGTGCCCGCTAATTGGATATTCTATTTAGTCTTTGGTGGTTTCGGCTGGGAGTTGGTAATTCTCCTGCTAGCGATGAGTGCTCTGATTATGGTACATTTTTTGGTTATATGGGTCGAAGCATTGTTATCGGCACGGGTTGAAATTCTGAATCGTATCAACTGTGCAATAAACGTTTGCGTACTGTTTATTCCTTTGTCCTATGTTTTTCTGGGCATAACACTCTCTGCCCCTTTTGAACTCTCCCTCTCTGATCCGTTTCGGGTTCTCTCTCTTGTCTTCTCTCGGTCTCCTCTTTCCCTCTCTTTCACTTTCTCTCTGTGTCCTTCTCTCTCTGTTTCCTCCTCTCTCGCTTATTTCTCTCTTTCTGTTCTCTGTCTCCAATCTGACTCCTGTCTCTCCTCTCGCAACTCTTTCGTTCTTTCTCCTGTGTCTCTTCTCTCTCTCTCTCCACATGACACCACATGACGACTAAAAAGAAATCAATTTTTGAAAATTCACTGCGTAGAAATTCACTCCTTTGGGTCTGATGTCCCTCGCATAGAAAACTAGGGCGTTAAAAGATAAGAAACATTATTTTTTTCATTAAAAAAGCAACGCAAATGGTTTGGACACACTTGAAACATAAATCTGGTGATTGCATGTTTTGTAACTGTTTGTAAAAAGTTTGCCTACGTTTGTACTCGTTTCAGATACTTACGCTCCAAGATCCACAGCTAACCAGTATAATGGATGAACAGGCATTCGGAGATTGCATTGATGACAGATGAAGACGAGAGGAAATAAAGAGTTTATGGTAAGATATTCGGCTTTAATAAACGTTAGTGTATTTGTAAAATATATAATCTTGACCATAAAACTGTTTATATGGTATCCTGAATAGAAGAAAGATGCAATAAACATTAGTCATCTGAGTTTAATTTTGACACTATAGCTCACAGTTAGCTCTTGTAACTGGAAAGGTGTCATTTGAAAGTTAATTTGAATAAAGTTAATTTCCTGTCCTTGACTCTCGATTAGCCCATTAGGGTAACGTGAGGCAGGAGTCCGCATTTTTTATAAAAACGTAAATTTCCACTCGTGTAATTGATATATCGATTCGGTTTTTTGCACAGAGAAGCGCTTAAAATAATAAACTGACCGAAAAAGAATGACGTGTTTTTAAAATTGATGTGTAGAAAATATTAAAGAAGAAAGTCCACTTCGGACTTCCTTTTTGCGCCAAATGTGGGGTAAAAGTCCTAAACAGATAATATTAGATATGTTAATAATAAACTGACCGAAAAAGAATGACGTGTTTTTAAATTTGATGTCTAAAAAATATTAAAGAAGAAAGTCCACTTCGGACTTCCTTTTTGCGCCAGATGTGGGGTAAAAGTCCTAAACAGATAATATTAGATATGTTAAATTTAAAAAACAATACACTTGCATGACGAACACAATTCATAACTCATAAATACAAATTCTTTTGTTATTTAAATTGTATAGTTATCATGAATAAATTACTGACTGATTAATTGTGGACTTGGCAGAACCGCAATGTGTTGCTGATGCCTTAATGTAGCAATTACAAATTAGTTACTACAAAAATCTCAAAGTATTTGATTTTGCTTTCTAGAAATTTAAAAACGGATGTAGAAATAAATACATGTTCATGTTTATTAATTTTGTATAGCTTTTCAAACATCTTAGGTTTGTTCCTTGATTCTCCTTGCATTTCTCTATTACATTCATTATTATAACGAAATATATTTATAAAAAACTTATTTTACTAAACATTAATTTCACCTTCATTTACATACATATCGTTCTTACATCCTGAAGTGTAATTGTCGAAAAAAACTAATTTTTAAACGTTTTTGACTTATTTTGATTTTTGTCGATTACAGCTCTATCACGAAACGGAAAAAACGTTACATACAAAAGTAACGTTTTTAGGAGAATATGAATCCGCAATAAAAACGTAGGTTACCATTTGCCTTTTTATTTCCTTCCACCCCCATCCCCGGGGGGTTGGGGTAAATTTTGGTATTATTGGATTGTCCCCATCATTATGAACAACAGCCATTACCTGCGTTTCTCGATCCGTTGCGCACTTTTCGAGATGCCACTAAAACAAGTTTTAAATAGAACACCTAGTATATATAAAATGGAAATCCCCTAAAACAGGTGATTAGTTTTTTGGACAAGTATTAGTTATTTATCCTAACGGTGTTTCCACTCGTTGAAACAGTCCTGGAACGCTTCTTTTGTGGAGTCACTAATTTCCTTCGTCGCATTTACCATTATCTCAAGAATCGTCTCAATCTTATTTCTTTCAAGGATCTTTTGTATTTGAGGAACAAGGGAAAGTCACAAGGACCAAGGTCAAAAAGTAGGGAGCGTGGGGAAGAACAATGGTGTGTTTGAGCAATAACTCACGAGCTCTGAGGGCTTAATGGTCAAGAGCTTTCTCATGATGGACAAACCAGTCGCCACTCCTCTACATTTCTGACCTTCTCCGATGAATGGCATCCTGCAGACGTTTCAGAGCTCTAATATAGAAATTTTGGTTCACTGTGGAGCGTCCTTAGAGATACATGTGATGAACAACACCCTTACAATAAAAAGGCTGTCAGCACAACTGTGACCTTGGTCCGGACATGGCGAGCTTTTTTGGGTCTGGGAGACGTTTCACCCGTCGTCTGTTGTGATTGGACTTGTCCTTCAATGTCATAACCATTAACTCATGATTCATCATCGATTATGATCTTTGACAAGACGTTTTTATCTTCTTTTAAACGATCAAGCTGTTCCTGACAAAGCTGGACACGATGGGCTTTTTGTTCCTCCGTCATCAGGCGAGGCACACATTTCCCAGGCGATGCATCTTCAATTTCTTGGTCAAAACCTTGTGACAAGATCCGGTCGATATCCCACACTCTTTAGAAAGTTCCCTGACAGTCAGACGTCGATTTTTACACACCAGGGTGTTGATGTTATTGACGTGGAAGAACGACCAGGATGCTCGAAAAGTTTAAATTCGCAGGCTAGTGTTATTCATAAAGAATATTATTTATGTGTATGTTGCCACTTAAATGTTCTAATATTTCACTTTCGATAGGTTTTACACTTGTCAGTAATTAAATTCTGCTGCCTGCTTCCAGCAAAATCATTTCAACTATATATACTTACATCTTATGACGTGTGAATCTGCACACGACTTCCATTAATCCACTATTTGGAGGTATGTTTTTGTTTCGTTGGTTTAGTTAACGATTTGATTAATTTTTCCCTCTTCAAATCAATAATTCTTATTTATCATGAAAACTTTTTTGTGTACAATTTCTTATACCTTTGCAAATTTGCAGAGCTGCATATCTCCCAAGAAGTATGCTATTTTGGGGTAAAATCCCACCTTACTCCTTTGACGTATTTTAATAAACACACTGGACAATGTCAGCGGTATTGAATTCAGAGAGAGAGAGAGAGAGAGAGAGAGAGAGAAAGAGAGAAAACGATATAAATAAGCAAGTTTTTTTAACTTAAGTACTCTGGAGATTTAGAAGAATCTAAATTCCGTGGTGGTAGCAGATATCTTGTGGTAATCCATGGTATTGTAAAGGAAATAATCTCCACAAAAGTTTTAATAATTTTATTAACAATTTTCCATAGTTAACTTTCGTGAAACACTTTTCCCATTCTCAGTAGATCTCTAGCAAAGAAGAAGTCTATAAGAGAAGTCTAGAAGACTATTAGAAGAGTCTATAATTTATTAACTTGTTCTTGAGTAGAATACAGTATAATATGCTTACTATAAAAATTAACAACAATTAAACTAATTATTATACTGACATTACACTGTTAATTAAAGGATGAACACTTAATTCACACAATAGTGTCATAATTTATTGCTTTTATTTACATATAATGCATATTTTATTACATATATTATGATTTATGTATTATATGTAGAGAACAGTCACATATTGTATATTACAATGTTAATTGGTCATTAATTGTAGTGCTGATTGTGTTTTGGGTGCAGGATGGTGTATTTGTTAGGCAGAGGTTAAGACAATTTTGGGAGCTATGGGTAGGAACGGAGAGTTTTGAGTCAAGCACTCAGGATCGGAAAACGTTAATTACTTTACTAGTTCAGGAGTGGCTCAATTTATGGAAATTTTGCCTACTACGTGCATTTTTGTCTAAAGTGCTTTAATGTAATCTAATATTTAAATGTGATTTACAATACACTTGAATGTTTCCATTAATGTTCTCGTTTCCAGCTCATAGATGGAGTAGTGCACACAGAGAAAGAGTGACCAGGTGACCAAGTAAGTGGATAGTCATCTTTAACCAAGAATGGTAGTGAGGATAGCTTCAAGGTTGCGGGTCCCACTTTCCCTCAACAGTGACAGTGGTCCCAGATAGCTGTTCCACCCATCAGATGATACAGGTGATGTTTCTGATCGTTTCATGCTTTGTACAACTGGAAGCCCCAAGGTATCTTAATGAAAGTCAAGAAAGGAAACAAAGTCATACACTCCCAGAGACAAGCAATCAAATGTTCAGCCAATGAGATATGTGGTCTAGTATATCACTGTTAATAAAATCTCTTTAAACGTAATTGTGGGGAATCTCTGTTGTAGTCTGTGTTTAAATATTTGTTTAATGTATAAAGTTTGTGGTTTTAAATGTAATAATGATGTTATATATGTAACATTTGTGGAAAAGTGGGAACTGGGGATTGGAGACAAAATTACACAAAAAAGAGATTGCCAGATGCATGGAGCATGTCTGAAGCATGTATATTATCAAAAGTGATGGGTTGTGCGTGGGAATAGGCGCTTTTAGAAGCAGTGAAGAGATGCATCCTTTGAAAGAGATGATGAAAGATGATTAGATTATAATTATGTTGATGAATATCGAAGTGCAATAGCTGTTGTATTATTGTATTCATGTTGTTGATATTAATCAAGATGACATATTTCATTGGCTTGCAATGCTAGCAACCTTTCAATAACTTCCAGTTAGGTCTCTCAACTGATGGATGTACAGTGCATGGCTCTAATGATGACAAACCTTAATGAGGATGTGACAAACTCTCCATCTTAAAATACTGTTCGGTACAAATTAACAAATTGCAGTTGTTATGGTTTCAACTGACTCTGTGGTGTATGTTAGTGTTAATTGTGGTGTAAAACAATTGTGAAGTATGTCATTAATGTACTAACTAGCTTTGCGTCTTTACAATGACTATATAAAATGTGTCACACACAGATGATAAAGACACAAATCTATCTCGGGGTTCTGTGAAGGAGTTGGACATTAAATACAGTTTAGTAATCAAAAGAATAATCCTGGTCACAGCACTGATGCATCATGGGGGAAAATATTGGAGCTCACCCCTGTGTTTGCAATTGTGCGTAGTCTCTAGTAAGGATGATAATGATAATGATAATGATAATTACATCATCACTGGTAATTGAATGGAGATAGTAACTAGAAGAAGGGCCCACAGTGTTTTGAGAAAAAATATTTGAAGATTTTGAATTGAATATTTCCTTATTTTACGTGGCGCGACTGAGGCCATTAGGCCCGCTCTTCCGTCTGACAACGCAAATTTTGCTACGCTCCTTTCACCAACTAGCAGAGAAAGGAGGTATTTCTTACGCGAGAAACAGGCGATTTGAATTTAGCTCAGAGGCGTCATTTAGGCTTGAGGATCTTTTACATGCAAGTATATCTACTGACATGGGACGGTTGGCTTCACTTCCCCTCCGAAGGAAGGGGTACGAATGATTTTTTCACCCTTAAAAATCCACGGCTTCGATCGGGTTTGAACCCGCGAACTTGGGTGCAACAGTCCGGTACGCTAACCGTTACACCATCGCCGCCGCCGCATTTTCACAGTATTTTGTTCCGTTCTAAGTAATTGCTTACTTGAAATAATTTAAAGATATTATAATTATTTAGAAAGTATATTTCAGGAAGAACATGATTAAAAGTTTCTTGATTTAAAACATATATTCTAAATTAAATATGAGTTGTAGCCACTTCTTCTGGAAAAGACTATAAATATTGTTAAAATGGAATATATCAAAGATATTATCCAGTTTTAGTTGCTTTTTATTATCAATTCAATTGATTTTACATGAAACTTATGTGATTAAGGCGCGCGGGCGATGGTGTAACGGTTAGCTTCAGACTGTTGTACCCAAGTTGGTGGGTTCAAACCCGATCGAAGCCGTGGATTTTTAAGGTCGAAAAAATCCTTCGTAGGCCTTCCTTCGGAGGGGAAGTAAAGACGGCTGTCCCATGTTAGTAAATTTACTTGCATGTAAAAGATCCTCGAGCCTAAATGACGCCTCTGAGCCAAATTCAAATCGCCTGTTTCTCGCCCAAGAAATACCTCCTTTCTCTGCTAGTTGGTGAAAGCGTAGCGAAATTTGCGTGGTCAGAAGTAAGAGCAGGCCTAATGGCCTCAGTCGCGCCACGTAAAATAAGGCATTAATTCAATTCAATTAACTGTTCTTGTCGTTGCAGTACTTTTTTTCTGAACTGTCAGATTTTGCTGAACTTCTTGTCATTCATCTAAGGCAGAACTTGATGACTTCATTACTTCTCCAGTTACTGCATAATCTAAATTAGACTGATGGCTACATAATGTATATTTAATAAAACGGTGTTATTCACAATGCATTCAGTAACAAACAAAAGATATCCACTGAAAGGAATCTAAATAATAGATGATGCTCTGCATTGCTCTTCTTACCTAACAAATTAAAATATTATGAAGATTTATATGTTTTCAGATTAAAACATGTGTTTCTACATTCTCCAGAATAATAGCCCTGTTGGCCCCTCTTGTAGCTACCACATTTATTATTCCAAGTTCTTTAGGCAAAATTATACACACGGATTTTCCAATGACATTTTCATGCCAACTGAAGTCTTTATCAATCAAATTCTGCAGACTTTTTTTCCACCAAGATTCACTGTATAAAACAAAAGCAAAAGAAACTAATACTTACATGATTTTTAAAGAAGGGTAGTGGTAGTTATATGTTCAGTTGTTACAAATAGGATAGTACATCTGCAAAGCCGTAACAAAATTATTTATTTTTCTTACATTTTGTACATTTGTATCGGATCCATGTTAAAATTAAACCTATAGAAATCTCGAGCCCTTCTTGGATTAGTGCACCAGATGAGGAAATCTGAAATGCAAATGAAGAAAGAGTTCAATTAGTGATGTACCGGTGGTACATGTCCAAAAATTTACACTAATGACCACCAGGATTTTTTTGATTACCTTTCTGTAGTTGGTGACCCAACTATAGTGAAGCACACATCATGGCTCCCAAACAAAAAATGAAATGGGGAGGTTTGTTTTCATTTCCAAGGGATTCATGTGTGCTGGGCATGGTGGTTCCTCTATGCAATTTAATATTCCTGCAAGTAGAATTGTTCAGGCTCCGATAACTATAGACTGCAAGCTATGATTACACTGTACTCTTGCATGTGATGTTTGTTGTTGACGATGTTGGCTGTTTCAAGTTGTATACTCTGAATTGATAAAAACTGTGAAAACTTGCATCTTTCAATGCAAAATACTATTGCTCAAGATTTCTATAAATAGCAAATCATAATAATATGTAGTGAAGAATCCTGTTTTCAGTTATTAACCATTTATATTCTATAATGAGCAGTATTTCAATTGTCCTTGCATGGGAGGACAATGTAAGAGAGATAACCATGAGGCCTTTTATTTAAAATTTGAAGTATTCATAAGAATACATTTGTATATTATAAAAAATGATTGCTCAACTGTTTACTAAAGACAGATAGAAACTTCATATTCAAAAATTTATAAATTATTAGAAGATTGCAAATGATTTTATTGCATATGATAACAAATTATTGTGATTAGCTATTTTTTAAATGTGAAATGGAGTGTGAGTAGGATTTTGTTATGGGATTTTGGAAATTGTGCCACAGTTTCACTAAGCTCCCTGGAGTTTGTGTTGTATGTTGTATTGATAAGGAATATGTTTAGGTATGTTTAATGTTGTTCAATGTACAGTAAGAAAATATGACAATGAGTTATTGCATTCCCATAATTGAATATATATTCCATTCCAAATTGTATCATGCATTATTCGACAGTGTTTGCTCAAATGTTCCATTCAGTGTATTTCATTACTGTTTTTAAAGATATTGTGCCTATTTTATGAAATTCTTTGCTTAAAACAATAGTGTTTATGATTCTTTTTTAAGTTAAATTTGGACTAAGTTCAGAACACTTGATTAAGCATGATGCAATGGAACTCTTTTCAATTACTACGCATCCTGAAGACAAACATGATTGGGAATAGATAAAAATCGTAAAAAGTAAAATAAAAAATAGGCCTTCTGAGGCGTCTTTACTAATTAAGCGTCATGTTTACAGAACAGTTATTACAGAGTTGATGCTTCGAACTCCAATTAGTGACCATAATTTCACATGTTAATATGTGAATGAGAAATGTAAGTCGAAATAAAATATTTCAAAATATTCTGATAATTTCCATAAGATAATTTAGAACAGGGCCTAGAATCCCTGAGTCATATATTTGCTATACCTGAGCTATTGACAACATTAAAGTTTGGAAAAAAATCAGAGGGGATAGTGATGAGATTAGATGTATGACAATAATTAATATAATGCTTAAGAAGCAGAAGATTCTCCAGGAAACCTGCCTATTGAAATGAATTTTTGAACAGAATGAGAAGCAGATGAAATATGGAAAACCTGCAGGATATCTGCCATGAATCTGCATAGCTTATGGGTCGATATTCCAATAGAATATAAAGTGGGAATGTGAATGGGATAGGGGTAACTTTGAGGGTATATAAACTAGAGTTAAAATAGACTTACATCTAAATATACGGCAGAGAGTTTTAGAGGTTTGAATTCTTCTCGATTTAATGGCGTGACTTGTTCCTCAGTTAACGGCGTGACTTGTTCCTGAGTTAACGGCGTGACTTGTTCCTGAGTTAACGGCGTGACTTGTTCCTGAGTTAACGGTGTGACTAGTTCCTGAGTTAACGGTGTGACTAGTTCCTGAGTTAACGGTGTGACTAGTTCCTGAGTTAACAGTATGTTTTGTTCTTGAGTTAACAATATGACTTGTACCTGGGTAAATTGTATTAATTCTTCCTGAGGTATCTATATTAATTCTTCCAGAGATAACAGTATGAATTCTTCCTGAATCAACTGTATTATTTCTTCCAGAGTAAAAGGTACGAATTCTTCTTGAGTTAACTGTGCGAATTCTTCTTGAGTTAGCGGTATGAATTCTTCCTGAGTAAACGGTGTGAATTTCGTCCTGAGTTTACGGTGTGACTCGTTTCTGAGTGAATCCTTAAGAAGTCGCGCGGGAACTATAAGCGTTCTGAGATCATTTATGCTAACTGCCATATAAAATACTATTGTTCTACTCTTCTGGAATTTCAACAGGTTCTTTACTTCCCAACAAGAAAAGAATCGCATTCTTTGTGATGGGATACACTTGCAATGACGACTTGCGTTCATATTCTTCCGAGATGTTATATGAAATTGAGAAATTTGTGATGCTTGAGAAATAGAAGAGATTAGTGACTATAGTACTTAATAAATTTTAGTATTACTGTTTATGCTTTTCAAACACGATAAACATAAATAACATATATTGTGGGAGTTACCGTATGCAAGGTACTATGCGATCTCCACTTAGATTCTATTGCATTTGAAATAATTAAAATTCAAATATTAATTTAATGAA